ACGAAATTCGATGACATTTTAGACTTGAATTTAATTTAGTGAAATTAATTAATTCTGACAAAACATATATTCTTTATAATCGCATATTTATTAGAAGAGTTCATTTTCATTAATTGTTCCTCTTACCTGTTCAGATTTCGCAAATGTTTTATCTCGCAGGCAGGATGTCGTCGGTGAACCTGTTCACATCCAGTAGCCATATGATGGGTTGTTAATAAGATTACCAAAAAAAGTATATAAATTGCATCGCAATAAGATGGAAATTAATAGGCAAGTATTAAATAAGAAGACTTAATAGACTTTCAAATAAGGTGACTTTATGTATACTAAATGATAGTTCAAGCATCTAGCCTACATATCAAAACTTTTTCCAACATCAACTTAATGCTAATTTTATTTATTTATGTAAAAGTTTTATCGACTAAAGGAAGTAGGAGACTTTCAAAATAATTTTTGAGCTCAACTATTATAAACCAATATAGGCCTCGAAACTCAACTTTTCTTTGCATATATTTACAAGATAAGCCAAACAGCATTTACACAAGGTTTTAGGTAGAACTTTGATACTACTCACCATTGTTAGTAGTATAACACAAATATATTATTATTTAAGTTATTATGGCAAAATTAAGTGATATAGACTCAAATTCCATACGCAATTATGATCACAAGAAAATTTAGTGTTATTTATTTTAATTGGCTCTCAACTAGTGTAGATAAACACTTAATTTTGTTAATAAATCTGTAACCATTTATAATTTTTGAAACTGTCAAACATTTATTTCTCCAAATGTAAAATGGGTTCGCTTTCATGGATCTAAATTATCAAGCTTGATCCAGTTATGGTAAAAGAAGGGTTAATATGTATTTTGTTGAAAATATGAAGACCAGGATGGTGTGATCTTTTGTATGGTCGCGGTCTCCTTTCGTTTTATCGAAGTTGTTTGATCTTATTGACGCAACTTGATCATATTGGCAAGAAGAGCTTGAGGAACGCACCTTGTCCAGAGTCCATAGTATGCATGATCACTTCCAGAGTCGGACCATAGACTTGGTACAATCCTAGACATTTCGCCGGCATCGTCAGAAAGCCTTGTCACTTTTAGCAACACACTAAAATTGGTGTATACGTGCTATCAACGGTTTGAGGCAGAGTGTAGAACAATGTTTTGAGCAGCACGAATACGGTGGCAGCGGTCGCGTGAAATCACTGAGACAGGCAGACAAGGAAAGGATCCTACGGGGGAAGCGGTGACTCTGATAGGACCTGAAGAAAGAGGGTTGCGGATCAAACCGCAGCTTCGGATCAATAGTAACCAGCGGGGAGTGTGAATAGATTTCGAATAGGTTTAGATAAACAAGTAAGAAGAGTGTGATACGAGGATATAGAATAGGTGAATGGCCCAGGGCAGAAAGGGAGATACCAAAACTGTTTAGCACACATTTGGTTGAAGCCTCGACTTTACTTGCCTCTTTGATGAGTTGTAGTTTGGTACTGAGAATGGCAAGACTCACTGCCGATAGGAAGGTACCAGGTCTACGGTCCGACTGTGGAAATGCTCATGCATCATACTGTGGACTCAGAACACGTTGCGTTCCACAGGTCTTCCTGTCTATATGAAGAAGTTTTGAAACAAGGTCAAACACCTACTAATATATGTTTTGCTTCTGTTTTTTTCTAGCCGAGATTGAGGTTTAGTATAGGGTAAATGAAGCCTATATCGAGATTTGTCAGATAAACAGTTAAAGAATGATAAGAAGCAAATGAATGTCAATTTACGTTTTCACGTTAATAATTTTTGTCCGAGTTTTAGCTCACTTTCTGCATCATTTGCCTCTGTGCAAGCTCTAGATTCTTTTTTCTCTTCTCTTTCTACTAACCGATCTGATTCCTCAACCAAATCCACCTCTTCGGTATTATCATCATGGTCTAGTTTAGGTCGCGTGTTGATCGTTCTCGCCGATGACTCCTTCGTATTCCAAGATCTCTCCTGTTTTTCGCCTGAATTGGAGGCGATTTGATATGTTCGGCGGACGCCACTTGTCAGGTACC